TGTCATAGACCAAATTTAACTGAACATTTCTTGTTTGAAAAAGCTCCAATCAATAAATGGAGATGAACTTATACTATTAGATAAAATATTTGGGGATTTACAGAGAAGTAATATCTGCACCATAGCTGAAAACCTGGGTGGATTTGTTCATTAGTTTGTGCTCTCAGTTTACTTGTTAGTTCTTTAACTCAAAACTTAAAGTGGTTGTAAACCTTAGACATGACATATGAACAAACCATATCACTCTATAGTGTTTATGTGTCTTAATTAAGAGCACTAAGTGTCTTTGTTCCTCTGCTATCAGCATGAGTCACTTCTGACAAGTTTTCCTGACACCAAGAGAAAAATGGTGACAGGGGAGGGACCTCCAGCAGATTTACAGCCACAACTCTCTTTCTTTTGTGCTGTTTGGAGGGGGGAGGGCATATCTCTTCTCTCCAATCAGCTCTCAGAGCTCTCCTCACTGAGCTCTGCAGAGCGTAACTTCATCTCTCTGCCCCCTTTTTTCTGAACACTCAGACAAGCTTTAAAATGTAGTACTTTACCTGGATGTAGAGAAGGGAAGACTGCTGATAGGCAGGTACAATTTTTATAGAAGGATTTGTTTCATCTATGTGTATCACCCGAGGCCAGTCACTTCACTGGGTATATGTGAGGGTTTAAACCACTTTAAAGATAGAATATGGTTGATATATTTCCCAGAAAGGCGTTATGAAATACCAGATAAATAGCAGATGCTTCCCTATACTGTATAGGACAAAGATTTCTTATCACTGGTAAGTTAACCAACCCCTCCAGTCTTTTCTCTTGATTTAAATATGTTGATAATATTTTAAGCTAGTGCATTTATTTTTACATGAACATATTTGGAATGTTTATTCACAGTCTGCACCAATGACGAGGGGGAAACAAATGCCTGAACACAGTTTTAAAACTTTTTTTTAATCCTATTTAAAATAAACTGACAAAAAATAAAAATTCCCAGCTCTAACTTCTCAGCCAGCCTGCAAACAAACCAAATTAACCTGTCTAACTGTATGCGTTAAAAAACAGGGGTTTAGTTAGCACACATTTGCAAATACATGCATAGGCAACAGAGCCTTGTCATGGCACCCCAGTATTCTGAAGTTCCTAACTATCCAATTGTAAGAGCCCCATAGTAGAGGCACATGTATTTAATGGATAGACCAAGGGCAGGTGGACCTGAGGGAGCCTACCCCTCCTTAAAGGTACAGGAGCACACTGGACACCCAGCATGTAGCACAATGGCAGCTAGGGTGTCCAGTGCACCCACTCACCAACAATTCAACAGTACAAAAAATGGTCACTGCCCCAGTCTATAACTGGCCTTCACAGCAAGGAGCACATGGAAGGGCGAAAGTTGTCAAACAACAAAAAAGAAAGATTTGTTTCATCTATTTGTTTCAACAAAAAAGAAGAATTCACAGCTCTAACTTGCCAGCCAGCCTGCAAACAAACCAAATTAACCTACAATTTTAAGAGCCCCCATAGTAGCATTGTGCTACATGCTGGGTCTCCAGTGCGCTCCTGTACCTTTAAGGACGGGTGGGCTCCCTCAGGTCCACCTGCCCTTGGTCTATCCATTAAATACATGTGCCTCTACTATGGGGGCTCTTAAAATTGTAGAGTTAGGAAGTACAGAATACTGGAGTTCCATGACGAGGCTCTGTAGCTTACACATGTATTTGCAAATGTGTGCTAACTAAACCCCTGTTTTTAATGCATACTCTTAGACAGGTTAATTCGGTTTGTTTTCAGGCTGACTGCACACTATGCAGTCAAACACATTGGAGTCAAACAATTGTGCCACGAATTACAAGGAGTTATTGTGTTCTTTTGAAGAAGCGTTGCTTTTAAGTTGGAGTGCTGTCTTAACACCAGGCTTGCAATAAATGGCGGCCTCAGCCTGCCTTTGGGGGCACTACAAGCACTCTCTCTGGATCCCCCACATGGGCACAGTAAGCACTGCCCACACACTCATCTACTGTATATCCTATGCAGTATAAGTAACTGTAATGTAACCAGAACAGAATCTTGAGGTTTTGACTATGTTATTAATTTCAAGTCTAATCTTTCAATCACTTTGCACTGAGTACTTGAAATTTCATTTTGTTTTGTGATTGGTTGTGTATTAGATATCTGTAGTTTTAAAGTTTTACAGTAAATGTCAGGCTTCATAAAGGATTCATGTGCAATATGAAATGATGTTTTTTCTTCCAGAGTGATTATATGTTCCCATGTATCACAGCCAGTTTTTATTCTGTGTAATGGAACAAACAATAACTTTTATCAGCAAACAAGAAGCCCTTGGTGCTGACCATTGATACTTTGTAGAAACAGCACTGAGCATATCACTGCTGTGCAGTAATTTCTTGTAAATTTGAAGTGTATACCACGTCATAAACATTTTTTTAATAGAGTTGGTAAAAATTAGAACCCTTGTTTTTTAATGCTACCTAGTTCCAGAAAAACAAAAAAATCATCTGGAGTCTGTATAAAGTCTCCAAATCTATGTTTCATGGGGCACTTTGGACTGGCAATAAAAATTCTGCAGGGACCTACTGGTAATGGGCATTAAATCAGTAAAGAAACAGATGCAAACAAAAGAGTGTGTTGCATTTCTAGGATGTGTTCATAGATTTAGATACTAGAACTATCATAGAACTATCACTTGCAAGACGTCACAAAGTCATGTTTGAACTGAAGCCCAATTCCAGGAATTAAATAAAGTCTACCCTTGCTGTGGGGCCCCCAATCCTCGTTATGTATAGGCTGTACAGTAATAGGCATTAATACTTACCTTATACCCCTGCCTCAGCTGGCTCCAGCACTCTCCTCTTCTCCCTGAAGCTCCAGTATGTGGGTGGTCCATCAGAGTCGTCACATACAATTCAGAGCTATTAATGTTGAAATGTACAGGTGAGTGACCGTGAGCTGCTTACAAGGGAGGCTGCAGGGGACAGGTCACACCCTTGGAGAGACCTTACTAGACTGCAGAATTAGGTAAGTATTTCTCTATATTCCAGCACTCCTAGACATACTGAGAATTTACGAGGGGCACTGTAAGGGTAGCTTTATACTTAGACTAGATATAAATAACACATCATTTTCATTGGATCACTAAGTCATTTGTTTGACCTGCAGGAAGCTGGTAATCATTTAGATGATTTTCAGACTTTATTTTCATGCAACCATACTTGTAAAGGACCCTTGACTTTCTTTCATTTCAGTTTGTATTGAAGAGATTATATTTGCATGTAAAGTAGATTTCTTAGTAAAGGTTCGAATTCCAACCATGGCACTACCTGCCTGGGGTTTGCATATTCTCCCTGTACCTGCCTGGGTTTCCTCTGGGTACACCCACAGTCCAAAGACATGCTGGTAGGTTAATTGACTCCTGTCTAAATTGGCCTTAGGGTGTGAATGTGACCTTAGATTGTAGGCCCCTTGAGGGCAGGACTGTGAATATACAATATATATGTAAAGCACTGAGTAAATTGACAATGCGATATAAGTACCCAAAATAAATAAATAAATAAATCGATAAATAAGATAAAGGAAACACAATTAAAGGTAACAATTAAATATCTAGCTGGCTGGTGGCCTGTCTGTGTTGGAGCTCTATGTTTGCTACTGTAGGTTCGAAAAGGTGAAGGTTTCATCTGTAAAGAAGACAAGATAATAAATCTGGGATTAGACATAGAAACTACTGTATAGTTAGTTCATGTTCATCTACTGAGCAGACTACAGACAAAAATAATTATTGTGCTCCCACACCAACTACAGGGTAGTCAGTCTGAGCAGTCAGGATCATGTCTGATGTCTTCTGCTTCTCTGCTCTGACGTTCCCCAAGATTCCACTGAGATGTGAGTCATAACTGAGAGAAAAGGCTGCTTCACATGAATAAAAAAATGTCCTCAACGTAAACCTATCTAAAAATATTTGCTGTCTCACCTGTCATTTTGCTGAGACCAAATACCAACTTCACCTCTTGACATTTGTGCCCCTGCTGTTAAAATATGTACTGCCAATCAAATACAAGAAGACATTTGTTTAACTTCCAATGGTAATGAAATGATTCCTCTTCATCCACATCCAACTCCTCACCCTTAGGGTATGTATATCACACAATGTCAACAATGTGAATGAGCTTGTTGGAGCTTGACAATGGCATGTCTTTCTGCACACACTACAATCGCAACTAGTGGCTACCTGCACAGTACACCCCTCTGAAGAATGTCTGCATTTAAGGTTTTCAAACGCCTGCAAGCTCTCTAATTAAACACTGGAAAATATTTACCAAGCCCAATCGTGCATCAAATTCATAGGGAAGGGTTAAAAAATAAAGAAGCCAGGACATAAATTTCTTTTAAGGTGGGACAATATTTCATGTACCAATGGAAAGAAAGATTAATGTTTCGTTTGCACAGTAAAAACTAACCTATTGTCAGCTTTCAACCAAGCAGAGAAACATGCGACTCTTTATTAACATTGCTAAAGATTAATGGCCTGTCTTATGAAAGCTGTTAAAATTTTAAGAGTTGTAAAAAGTGTAAGGCTGTAAAAAAATGGAGACAATTTTACAAAAATTGAATTGTCCCCATTATATTTCTTCTTTTATTCTTTATAAAAATAAATTAAGGTTTCTGACTGCTCAGTATTGGCAGCAGCTCTACATTTTTTGCATTATCCCTTATATATTTACATTTCCTTTACCCAATACCTTTTAACTAATTACAAATTGTCATCTGCAGGAATGAAAAAACCATGCTATAGCTCAGGGCTTACAATTTTGAGTCTAGACCTACTAGCCAGGCACAAACCTTACTCTCCACCAGTTGCCCCACCCAACCTTGCCCGGGTCTGCCTCCAACCCCACCCCCGGCCCATCCCCGCCCCAGCCCTGCCCCCCCAACTACGCCCCTTAAAGTTTATGAAATTATATTTTTCTTTAGAATAAAGAGTCCAAAATGTAAACTGTATACAGTAATGTATAACCCAGCTTCCCTGTTTTCCATTATAGTGATATGACATGTATACAGTAATGATTACTGTATACATGTCGTATCACTATAATGGAGTACAGGGGAACTGGGGTATACATTACTGTATACATGTCATATCACTATAATGGAGTACAGGGGAGCTGGGATATACATTACTGTATACATGTCATATCACTATAATGGAGTACAGGATATACATTACTGTCTACATGTCATATCACTATAATGGAGTACAGGGGGGGGGGATATACATTACTGTATACATGTCATATCACTATAATGGAGTACAGGGGAGCAGGGATATACATTACTGTATACATGGGAGTACAGGGGAGCTGGGATATACATTACTGTATACATGTCATATCACTATAATGGAGTACAGGGGAGCTTAGGATATACATTAATGATTACTGTATACATGTCATATCACTATAATGGAGTACAGGGGAGCTGGGATATACATTACTGTATACATGTCATATCGCTATAATGGAGTACTGATTATACATTACTATGATTACTGTATACATCATCATATCACTATAATGGAGTTCAGGGAGCTGGATTATACATTACTGTATACATGGGATACAGGGGAGCTGGGATATACATACTGTATACATGTCATATCACTATAATGGAGTACAGGGGAGCTGGGATATACATTACTGTATACATGTCATATCACTATAATGGAGTACAGGGGAGCTGGGATTATACATTACTATGATTACTGTATACATGTCATATCACTATAATGGAGTACAGGGGAGCTACTGGATATACATTACTGTATACATACTGTATACATGTCATATCACTATAATGGAGTACAGGGGAGCTGGGATATACATTACTGTATACATGTCATATCACTATAATGAAGTACAGGGGAGCTGGGATATACATTACTGTATACATGTCATATCACTATAATGGAGTACAGGGGAGCTGGGATATACATTACTGTATACATGTCATATCACTATAATGGAGTTACAGGGGAGCTGGGATATACATTACTGTATACATGTCATATCACTATAATGGAGTACAGGGGAGCTGGGATATACATTACTGTATACATGTCATATCACTATAATGGAGTACAGGGGAGCTGGGATATGCATACTGTATTACATGTCATATCACTATAATGGAAGGAGTACAGGGGAGCCTGGGATATACATTACTGTATACATGTCATATCACTATAATGGAGTACAGGGGAGCTGGGATATACATACTGTATACATGTCATATCACTATAATGGAGTACAGGGGAGCTGGGATATACATTATACATATCACTAAATGTATACATGTCATATCACTATAATGGAGTACAGGGGAGGGGATATACATGGGTATACATGTCATATCACTATAATGGAGTACAGGGAGCTATACATACTGTATACATGTCATATCACTATAATGGAGTACATGTCATATCACTGTATAATGGAGTACAGGGGAGGGGGGGGATATACATTACTGTATACATGTCATACCACTATAATGAAGTACAGGGGAGCTGGGATATATTACTATGATTACTGTATACATGTCATATCACTATAATGGAGTACAGGGAGCTGGGATATACATTACATTACTGTATACATGTCATATCACTATAATGAAGTACATTACAGGGGAGCTCCCCTGTACTCCATTATAGGATATACATTACTGTTAAACATGTCCCAGCTCCCCTGTACTCCATTATATAATGGAGTACAGGGGAGACATGGGATTATACATACATGTCTACATCCCAGCTCCCCTGTACTCCACTAGTGAATGACATGTATGCAGTACTCCTTGAGCCCCCCACAGCGGTGGAGAGGGTGTCTCCTCTCAGCGGAGGAGAGCGTACCTCTCCTGCACCTGTCCCCTCAGCGGTGGTGCCGAAGAAGCCGGAAATCGGGAACTCAGAAACCGAACTCGGCTTCACAATGAGGCTTGGAGCGCAGCCGCTCCATCATCTGTGCTCGCCGCTCACGGCTAGAGAATTTCTCATCGCATTTGGCGAGCGGCTTTTTCAAGCCCTGCTCTAGCTAGCCATACAAATGAGTTAAAGCCCAATGCTTGCATTCTTTATATAGTCTGATAGCACTGCAGAAAGTTTGAAGAAATAATTCTACCTCTGGGACTTTGCCTTTCACTATTTCAATGAGAATGGGACTTGTTGAGATGTGTTTGGAGAATTGTAAGCATGCAGAGGAAAAGCTCATATTTCACATAAGGATGGGGGAATGGCAAAAGTGCTGGAAGAATTTTGCCAACAAAAATGACCACATTCGAGGAAGAGGTAAAGTAGTAGTCATTACAGCTGTAAGCATAGATAAGAAAAAGGCTTTCCGATGAATGGTGAGTATTCACTTGACAGAGAACTACCACTATTTAAAAAACCAAAGTGGCCGAAAATTTGCAGAACTGTTCTGTTGCTACTGACTAAAATAAATCACAGATGGTTCTTACATCTATTTGAACTGTAGGCTAATTGTAGAGATTGATGTAGGATTTGTCAATTCTAATGCAATGAAAAAATATTTTCTGGTTGAGGCTACTTTGGACTTGCTAAGAATTAAGATTAAACTTTGGACCCTTATATAATTTCCAGAAGATTGTTAGGGTGAGCCAATGTCAGATAGATCACAAATAACTAAACATATACCTGACAAGATGAGCTCTCGTTTGAGTTTTGTATCCTGAGGACTGAAAGCAAGAGCCACATTCCCTCTTACTCTGAAGACCCAGGTAAGATATGCACATTCAAATATCTCAGATTCAGATTCAAAATATCTGTTAAAGAATATCATTGTGTCTGAAATTAACACTTGCCCTCCTGAGGATTTACCCCCCTTCATGACCAGGCCATTTTTTGCATTATTTTAACTGACAATTGCACGGTCACGCAACGCTGCACCCAAATTAAATTTATGTCCTTTTTTCCCACAAATTGAGCTTTCTTTTGGTGGTATTTGATCGCCTGTGTGTTTTTTTATTTTTTGCGCTATAAGCAAAGAAAGACCAACAATTTTGAGAAAAAAACAATATTTTGGAGATTTTGCTAGTAACCTCCTTGGCGGTATGATTCTTTCCGATTTTTGGTGCTGAAAGCGGTACCATTTTTTTGCATGGAAATATGTAGTTTTTTTATTGTAGGCCTGTAATTCTTAGGAATAACTCACTGAAATCTGTCCGAACAAGAGTCTAGTAAACATCCCGGGTAGGATAAAATTTGAAACACGTAATCATAAATTATAATTTAATAAATAATCATAAAAAATAATAATTCTATAATAATACATTTAATTCAATAATATAATCAAACCAAAAACACTGAAATGTGAAATATAGCGCCAAGTTAGCACATTGCTGAGCAAAGTCGCAAAATCGTTTTCAGTGTCTGATTTCCCCACAAATCATTATCACTCAATTCTGCAAGTGGTTCTGATTTACTATCGCTGTTCTCTAGCTGATCTAAAACCGCTTTTGACCTAAAGGGACACTTTTTGGACGCCATGGACATTTCTCAGTTTCCAGGCAGAAAGAACAGACAAAATGCAGGCAGTGCGCAGGACAAAGCATTAGGGACAAGATGTATGTGAAATTGGTTGAGACAGCAATGTTTTACTATGTAAAATGTAAAAAAAAAAAAAGAAATTTTTTTAAAATTTTTAAATTTCCCGCTGCCAGCGGCGCCCGTACATCCCGACGTCACAGGGACAGGACACAGAAGCCGGATGCCAGCATCGGCCGGAGGAGATGGCCGGGGACGCTGCAGGGGACACATCGTGGGAGCGCAGGGTAAGGTAAGTGAAGAACAAATGCCGGAGCAGTGCCGCATGGTATTCCCGAGTGTAGCTCGGGGTTACCGTTTGTGGTACTGAAATGTTACCCCGAGCCACACTCGGGAATACCGCCAAGGAGGTTAAACATGTCCAGTAAAAAAAATAAAAAAAAAAAATCAAATTTCATCATATATTTAGGCAAAATGTATTCTGATACATGTCTTTGCTAAAAAAAATCCCAATACGTGTAAATTAATTGGTTTACATGAAAGTTATAGAATTTACAAATGGCAGTATAGATAATAGGATTTGTTTTTCTACTAGTAATGGCGGCGACCAGCAACTTTTAGCGGGACTGCGGCAGAAATTCTGACACTGGGGGGAGCTAACTTGGTGTCACTGACACCCCAGTGACACCAATACAGTGATCAGTGCTAAAGAAATGCACTGACACTGTACTAATGGCACTGGGCAGGAAGGAGTTAATGTGAGGGGCGATCAAAGGGTTACTGTGTCCCGGGTGTGTTCTTCACTGTAAGCACACTGATCGGGATGGCTGTACTGTGCACAAGCCATCCCGAGCAGTGTGCTCGAGCTGACAGTGAGGAAGACAGTTTGTAAAAACAAAACAATCTTCCTCCTCGTCGGAGATGCTCGGTAATCACCGGGCGCCGGGCGGGTAATTACAGGCTGGGACCCGATGATTGACATCCGTGGCCGTGAATGGTGGTGTGGGTAGGGCGCACATGTGGCTCGCAGGCGCCTCCTACCTGGGAATGCTAAATCACATATATATCTGCTATAGGGCGGTCCTTAAGAGGTTAAACTACAACTCAAAAATTGTATGGATAATACTTTTGTTGGTCACCAAGTCACTCAGGGCACAGAGCTGGAAGATTAAGGACTTTGTTAACCAAAAAGGGTTATAACAATATAGGTGTTTGGTCCAGAACATGACAGCCTCAAGATTTTTAATTTCTCCACCAAGCAATAGTCCTAAAAATTGGGCAGTAAATGCTGAAGAAAGAAAGCAAGTGCATTAGGACTAACAAGGTAGTGTAACAGCAAGGGGGATTAAACAAATGAACTGACAAAGGGTAGCTTGAAAATTAACTGTACTAAAGAGATGCAGAGTAGGATTTAGTACAAACAAGGTTGGAAAGCAAGGATAGGCTGGGTCTGGTAGCCTAGCCAAGCAGCTGGAGGGATCCAAAGATCGGTTCCATGGACAAGTGACTGCAGGAGTCTCTGAGCTGGAAACACAGACAAACAGCTGTAGGCATAGGACCACCCCATATTAGGAACAGCACTCTGGAAACAATTGTTGCAGTGCTCTCTGCAGTGCCTGTGTCTTCCTTGAAAGCTGCATGCTGATCTCAGACACCAAATTGATGTGGCGAGGTCCGCCTTAAACCTAAGCTTGACTACCAAATTGGAAAAAAACACACCCGCTGGTGTAAGCATTGTTATTACACAATGGGAGATTAACCCTTATACTCTTTTGGCATGGAAACAAGCTCCTCGCCCATATAATCCTGTCCTACCTAAACTGTGAATGAGCACTGGTCAACTGTCACAAATTCCACAATTGATTATGTAAGAATTTTCCAATTTTCACACTAAGCTTTATGGCCTCTAACCCTCCCTTTTGGCTCAGTTGTCTGTACTCAATATAAATGAATATTCTACCAAGATTATATCTTTTTTGGACCCTTCCGATTTCGCTTAATGTTTCTGACCGAAAAAAAAACAAAAATTGTTACGATATGTTTGGCGGGACAGGAAACCCAGGGTGAATAGACACACACTGTATACACCTAAATTGAGGGGCGGCCTGGGGATGCCAGACCTACTTAAATATTATCATGCTGCACAATTGGCCCAGTTATTACGTTCTCACACTAAATGCAAACATATGCTATAGATGAAGATGGAGGAATCTTCTGTGGCTACGTCCAAAAGATAGACCACTTATTTTATGCCCTACAGTTTCATTTTCTTAATCTATGGGATAGATTGACAGCGAGATATGGGGTTTAAGTCCCCACATACTCCCTTGGCTCCATTGTTAAGAAATAGAGAATTTACCCTGGGTCTCCACCCACATAATTTCTCATGGCGGATGAATAAAGGCGTGCTCTGTATTGCAGATTTATGTGATCATAGAGGGGTTATGTTGCAAACTTGCTTATAAGAAAGATATTAACTCCTGGATACAGAATTGTCTAGATATGCTCAGTTGACACACTTTTTGCACATCCTAAAGCTAATCCTTCACTTCAATGCAATATGTTTGTAAGACCTTTGACAAACTGGTCACATATCTAGGCATTATAGTATGTTAACAAATATTCCCACAAAACTCTTCTATATGGAAAAATGAGAACAAGATTTGAATGAACAGTTGGAGATGGAGGACTGGTGAAAGCTTGCTCAAAGCACTTCCAAATCTTTTATTACCACCTCTCCTATAGATGCTAATTATAAAGAACTTGTGAGATGGTATATGGTACAAGTGCGAGTGGCAAAGTTCTTCCCGGGAGCATCCTCTCAGTGCTTTAGAGGTTACGGACAAGAGAGAACTGCCTTTCACACCTGGTGGTCATGTTGGAAAGTACAGAGGTTTTGGATTAGAGTATATAACTTTATCAATTCACTTACACAAGTGAACCTGTAAAATCTCCTTAGCAGGCCCTATTGGGACATGCGCTGGACAGACTGCCAAGACACACTACAAGATTGATCGCTTTTATTTTTGTGGCTGCCAGGATATCTATTGCCAGATCATGGTGATCTCCTACGATCCCTGTAGAGTCCATATCATGGATTATGGTCAATGAACGGCTCTCAGCACTGCTAAACGATAGGTTGACTTTTTTTGACAAAACCTGGGACCCATGGATCACATATCTGTCGACTTCTTTTTGAGAATGGATTGATAGTTATCCTATTGGCAGGATAGAGTGCACTACCTTCCCTTTTTCTTTTTCTCACTCTTTGCAACTTCATGCTTTTCTTTTTTTTCCTTTTGATCTTGGTTGTATGGCCATAAGGCAGGTTATATTGACCCATTGTGTGACTGGCGGGGGTTTTGGTCTCAGATGATACTTGAGTTTCACTCACCAACTGGTTACACAACACAGTATTGAAACTGATGATGGATAACTGTATGTAATTGAATACACTTATACACTATTGTCATATTCTATGTAGTGCATTTGTTTAGGCTCTACATGATTTATTTGCCTTGTGTTTTGTAA